TGCTTGGCTAAGATAATCTGACCAGTTTCTGCCTTGAACTTCACCATATAATCTGGTGAATGCTTTTTGTCATGTAACTGTCAGCAAGAACATAAATAAGCATATTTCAAAAAACCTAATCTGAACTTTAATTTTTAGTCTCAACCTATTTCAAGAAGAAATGGGCATCTTTCTAACTGTGAAATACAAGAGCACATAAACCAGCAGAGTGACCTTGTTGAGTAAGAGCCATAAAAGCCATTTATTGCCTCTACAACATACGGTATTAACAGCTTGAATGCACATACAGGGTCCAGTATCCATGAGCCAAGTAAAGTGTACACGGCGAAGCTCTTAACGTGTCTTAACTACAAAATGCTTTGTGTCGAGCAATAATGAGGCTGATGACATTGCCGTTTGGATTGGTGTGGCTGCTGTTGGCCTTCTGTCTGGTGTTTACCCCTGAGTGTGGTGGAGGCTGTTTAACCCAGGACTTTACCTGCAATAAGGGACTATGTGTGTCTGAGGATTGTGTGTGTGACTTTGAAGACAACTGTGGAGATGGCAGCGATGAGAAAAATTGTGAGTAAAGCAGGAAAATATACAGTATAATACTACAATGTAAACCTGAACCATGTCAAGAGAATGTAAAAAAGTGAAGGTTATATTAGTTAGGTTAAATTAGAGTAAAACAGAAAGTAACCAAGTTAAAAAATACATTACAGACAGCACTGCTCATTGGCTGTGTAAATGCAAGTGAAAACCAATTTTTCAAGGGACTGTAACCATGGAGAGAAAATTGCCTGCCTGATGAAGGGTGTAACAACCGAATAAATCTGGATATCCATGATGTGCTATTATGGTATTTCACCAAAACCATTTACTGTTGACATGCAAAACATATCTTTCACACATAAAATGACTGTGCCTGAATTAAAAGAGCCATACAGTGTCTATAAATGGAGAGGATTACAGATATCTGTCAAAACAAACAGCTTTTTCAGTCTGTTTTTTATTAACTGTTCCTTGACAATTAAAAAGAATATCTTTTGAAGTCTTTTAGATATTTAATACCTTTTAAAAGTGTTGTTTTATCTTTGTATTGTTAATAACCTTAAAAGAAAGAAACGAAATAGAGTATTTCCTGTTCCTGTTTAATTAAAGTATGTAAAATTGTTTAAACAGCACTGAAAATAACCTGAGTAAAACTTTTAAAATTTCATGAATGATGAGTTTAGGGTCACAGCACTGGACATTTCTGTGCAACTTCCATAATATTGTACTTACAGATACTTAAAAATGCCTTTAAATCCCTTAGGAGCATTAAACCTTTTCTTTTTAAAGCCACTTTTCCCTCACAGTTGTTGCTTTTGAAGCTTACCATGTTTTTTGAGTCTATAATTGTATAGTAGCTTAAAGAGTCACAAAAACAGTGGTGTTATTGACTTATAAACAGTAGTGAAATACAGTGTGACTATTCCTCAAACCAGTAATAGATGAATTATATAATAACATTTTGTACATGCTCAGGTGCAAATATGCGGTACAAAGTATTCCCAGAAGCCAATGTGCCAGACAAGTCTGAGGATATAGTAAAGTCCAAATTTAGTATTTATTGCATGATTATATAAACATTTATATCATTACACATAACAAAAGTACACAAATCTGTATGGAAATAACAGCTGAACAGAGTTTGGACACATCCTAAAAGCATTTTTATAGCACATCTAAAGCTGAAAAAGGGTAGTAAACAGGCTCCTGTGAAGATATTAAATTCTTTATATATCCTATCTGAAAATGTAAAATGTAAAGAAATGTAACAGTTGCATCATCACTGATCCTCTCTGGGTACTTGAGCTTTGAAAATACCACAATATTATCGACGATGCTTTATAGTCCCTTGTTGCACATTTGTCTCTGTATTAAATACAAATCAAATACAATGGGAAACCACTTAGTTTCTGGGCTCTGCTGAGCTGATGAATCTTTATTGTCCATGAAGCCTGCAGCTTAATTTCAATACAGAGAATAATGGTAAAATACATATCAGGATAAAAAAAACAATAGAGTAAGTGAAAAGGCCGTCAGTGAAAGTGCAGCTGGTTTTTCTCTTGTAGGTTCACATTATAAGAGGTGCAACTTTGAGGAGGGATTCTGTGACCTGATCCAGAGCTCAGAGACATTATCTGAATGGACTAGAACAACTGAGGTCCCAGGACTCAACCACGACCACACCAACACATCAGGTTGGAGCATCTGACATTTGTCGTGTGGAGCAGTACATCCATTGTAAACGCACAAGCGTCACCATTTATTCGTTTTTTAAATCTTTTTCCATGTATACATGCTCATAACTCTCCCCCAGCCTATTTTCTGACCCTTCTACCTGTTGGTGGAAAGAGAATCACAGCAGACCTGAAAAGTCCTGTGTTCCTGCCCACTCACACTTGCCAGGTAACATATCAGATATCTTCATCCATAAACCAAGACAGAACCATAACAACAGGAAGATAACTGATGATATCTTCATTTGACAGATGAGTTTCTATCATTATGTTGAGGCAACACATGGATATCTTGAGGCCCTTATTCAAACTCACCCACTGAGGCAGAGCACAGTGGTGTGGAAACACTCCACACAACCACAGGGGGAAACATGGCTGCGGACAGCGGTTCTGTTTTCCAGCAATCACAGTTTTCAGGTCTGTAACATTCACAGCCAATTATAATAATCATAATAAGGGCTTATATTGTGTTTAATATTATAAATACAGTCCTGTTCAAAAGTCTTAGGCCACCATTAGATTTGTTTTTTTTTTTAGCAACGTTATGATGGCTATGTATATTTATTTCTCAGTCTCTTTCTCAGAATACTATGAGAAAATATAGAAATGAATGATAATGCTGCTTCATATTTGCTGGATGAGTAAAAAGACAACTGGTTTCTCTATACCTTACTTTCGATTTTTGGCCCGTTCTCAGCCTTATGATGTTGTGCTAATATTATATCTCATGGTTTGGTATGCTCAAGTATAGTGTGTTATCAGCATGTTAGTAAGTTAAAGTACACATAGTGATTCTGTATGAGGTTCCTTGAAAATGCTAAAGCATCACCCTGCAGGAGCTGTTTATGTGCACTGAGAGGGTGCTGCACAGACTGTGTGGAGTCCTATGAAGCCTGCTGTTTGTGCCCTTCCTATATATTCAGACAATGTCATTGCATCACCTTCTTCCCTTTTCTGCTTTTACCAACTGTCACTGACTGCAATAGGCTCGGTTCATCACATGGCAGACCCAGCACTGGGGGTAAAGAGAGGTCAACTCTCTGCTAATGTTCACTTTTCCCTCCATTAATCCACTTCCTGTTTCAAGGACGGTTTAGTTAAGTGGTTTTCATGGTGATTTCAGCTGAGTTCAATTTCAAACTCTCTGTTAAATGATGTGCCTTTTTCCACCTACTTGAATTGCCTGGAGTTTTCTGTTGACTTAGACCTGTGCACATACGCATAACCTTGACCTAGACCTGGAAACAGCTAATCTAATATGTCATGTGATTAAGGAGGATTTTGTAGAGATACGTCTCTAGTATTATCAGCTGCTGTTGGTGCAGAATGGCATAGTTAGAAAAAATTTTTTTTTTTTTTTTTTTATGAAATCGAGAGTACATTGTCTAGATCAGATAAACATGCTGGTTTGGCTGAAATCCTAAATAAAACATTATGTACACTCAATGCTAGTTTTGTATCTTCAAAGTCCAGGTTTTGGCAAAATAAATTAACACCTCAGGACAAGTTTGACACCTGAAAATTGTATATTAGAGCACATTTTTCCATCACACATGATGACACAAGTCACCATTTGTTTAGACCAGTCATACAGTAAATGATAGGTTGTAAAATCCCACTGGTGTAGATAAAACTGTTCTGTGGACTTTGATCAGTGAATCTGTGATGCTTTTCTGATAGCGCTGTGTTAGTTGGTGTGGGTCCATAAAAGACTTCAGAGAAAGCTACACTCATATATCCTTTCTCATGGCTCCTCCAGTCAGCCTCTGCCCTCCTCAGAGTAGCAATAAGAGCCTCATAATGGCAGACTGGAACAACTTCCAGGTTGAGCAAGGATCCAGGAGCAAGGAACAATAAAATAAGGGACCTGGGATTTTCCATATGTGTCACCCTTGTGATGGACTGGTGGAATCTGTAATAATTCTTTAGTATATTACTTGTGTGGCGTAGAAGATAATTATCTATGAATGTAATTATGTAAGAATGTTAATTCTGTAGTATATTACTTGTGTGGTGTAGAGGATAATTATTTATCTAGAGATATTGCTTAGGATTTAAAAGTTGTAAAATGATGTCATGGGGTAGGACTAGATAAGTCTAACTTCTTCCTACTCGGTTCAAGCATGTACTAGGTATAAGTAAATTGATATTGGATTATTATTTTTGGATATGTGTGAAATTACATGTGTTGACATATCAACTGTTTTACATACTTGAATGAATAAATCAAATCAAAATCAAATGTCCAGGGTGTATCCTGCCTCTTGCCCAGTGCTGGCTGGGATCAATAGACTTGATTTAGGTTTCAGTATGAGGATAACACATACATGCACACACCCATACTTTGCTCACACATGGCAAAATATGGAAAGACAGATTGTTTGGAAAAAGAATTAAAAGCAGTGACTGATGGAATGATATTTCTGTTCATCTTCCAGGTGGCGATTCGAGGGGAACTTTCCGCTGACAGTGATGCCTCTGAATTCCTGGCCATTGATGATCTATCCTTCAGTCCTGGGTGCATGACTGTGTCTGGTATTGCTACCATTAATAACATGTAACTACACAGATGGGACAATTTCAGACCTTGACATTTTGAAATATCACCACACATAAACAGACCTCTACAAACTTGTTTTGAATACTGATTCAAGCGAGGAGACACTGAAGCATCCAGGATGGGATTCATAACAGAACAAGTGAATCATTGAAATAGAGCTTACTACACATTTCCTTGCTGCAGTCATTGCTGTCATTACTGCAGTCTATGGGCTTATTTATGTGTGCTATAGTGTTCCTGCTGCAGCTCAGTGATGAATATGAAACAGCTGAACATCTTTGGGAGCTTTAGATAAAGAGCTGCCCACTTGGTGTTTTGGGCAGACTTGTAACAGATTGTTGTGGTGATCCTGTGCTAACGCACCAGAATCTCACAAGAGTGGGTTTTGACCATTGGAGTCAGTGATAATCAAGGTTCCTTTTGCAACTAAATAATGTTATTCAGTCGAAATGTCGACTGTATTAAGTCCTCATTCTTGGCTCCTGTGGCAGAGAGTGGTGTGGCCCCTCATCCTCTTTGCCCTCCCTCGTGGTTTGCCTGTGGTGGTGGGGAGTGTATCAAGGAAAACAAAGTGTGTGACTTCACCCCTGATTGTCCCCATGGAGAGGATGAAGCTGGCTGCCGTAAGAATCTTGTTTCCAAGTAACACATTTAATATTTGACATCCCATTTGTATGTTTATAAAAAGTAATGCAAAGATTGAGAAGATAAGTGTTTTCCACATTCTGCATTCCCATAAATTTTCCCATAAAACGGTCTCCTCTGTGTTACTGAGCATAGAGATGGGATTCTTTCAAATCATGTAGCAAAAATACACATTTACAATGTAACCACACTTAATTCTTTTATCTTTATTCCTGAGAAATAAACATTTTGGTATGACAGTTGGGTCTAAATACTACAGTACCCATGAGCCTTTGCTTTAGGGCTGTGAAGAGAGAGAAGCCCTCTTTTAGGTGCCCCTGGTTGTGGAATAAAAAATACCTTGTACTGTATGTTCCCCTATATAAAATGTTACATGACTCACAGGTGGATCAGCATGAAACTTTCTTAGTTAAAACATTTGTAGTGAAGATTAACATCTGTTATAATATCTCAGGTTTTTTGATAAACAGTCAAATAGACATGCTTGTTTATACAAAGAATGAACATTGTACAAAAGTTTCACAGTTATTTAATTACTTCCTTAATTCTCTATCCATTCAGCCTCCGAGTGCAACTTTGAGAGTGGCTCTTGTGGCTGGTACGAGCTCACCCCCGGTGATGGTTTTGACTGGGTCAGGGGTTCATCTGTGGAGGTGCCCCCGGAATACTACAACCGTCCACCACCCTTGGACCACTCTACAAACAGTACTGAAGGTACAATATGCCACCATTTGCCACGTGCAATTGCTGTTATCAGTCTGTGGAGTAAAAACAGAAACGTGTTGTGCTGATAAGATGATTTTACAGCATCCAGCATGTTTGGTCAGAAATAACTGGCAAAAGAAAATCCTATCTTCAGATTCAATCAATGTTTTGTGGGCAGAAAAGAAATGTCCTTTTCTTTGTGTTTTTAAGAGATAAGCCCTTAATGGAGAAATGCTTTCTCAGCCAACTGAATAATAGAAAGGAAATTGATCAGCTGTATTTGCATATTAATATGCCACACTAAAATACATTATATTGTGCTCACTCTGAAACACAGTGAGTCCTTCCTCGGCTTCTGCCTCCACAACTTGTTGCCATATATTACGCCTCATTACATCTTTATACTTTTCTCCAAATCAACCCTCCAGAACACATTTAAGTCTTCAAGGCATGAATTTAACGAGGAGCATTTTAGCAGGCTGACTCCAAGCAGATCTAGCAACACCATCTGTTGTTTTTGTTATGTACATTGTAGACCCTCTGTCGGGTTCAGTTTGGAGACAGTAAACTGAAATCTCTGGGAAGTTTTGAGAAGCGTCTAGCTTTGTGAAATGTCCTGGTGGGAGCATCTGTGTGAAGGTTTTGGAAAAATGGCTGTGACCATTCAGAGGCTTATCTAGTAATAATAATAATAATAATAATACTTTCTTTGTATAGCACTTTACAACTCAGTAGGAGCCCAAAGCGCTTCACAGAACAGCAGATAAAATACATGACCAACAACATACAAAATAAGACCAAAACAAGAGAAACTAAAAACACACAAAAAAGAAAATATAAATCAAAAGGTAATGATTAGGCTTCCATATCCAATATAAGTATAAAACAGCAAGCTAAAAGACATAGTAAGCAACAATATGTAGCCAGGTGGTGGTGTTCATAACAGCATTTATTTGGCAGATAGGTAGAGCCAATAAAACATTCAGACTCCAAAGAGTGATTACCTAAGCACTCTGAAAAATGATTGTTTTTGGTAAAATAATCAACATTTCAAGTTTTATATTTGTTGCTAAGTTTGAACTTAGCAACTCTCTTTGAGTTGTGTGAAATGAACAGGCTTTCTGCATATCACTACTGTGACAAGCTACTGTCTGCACATTTCAGACATGCCTGATAGCAAAATAAGCTTTGCTGTTGTCCTGTGACGTATGCCATCAATAAGCCACTGTTGTCTTGGTGACTGCAGATGACAGGATATGTTTTGTTTAGCCCATAATTCTTAATAAACACTAGACATTGTATTGCATAAAATCCCAAAGGGAGAGATTTATCTGAGAAGATAAATTTAATCTGTCTGGCAACAACAACAATGGGCAAAGGCGTTTAGTTGGAAAATAAATGATCCTCTCAACTCTCTGCTTCTGTAATTGTAATTGTTAGCAGAAACGTGGAGGTGTGCAAAATAAAGTAGATGGTTTGAATATTAATTGTCTTGCTCACGGCAGGTCACTTCATGTTTATCCTGAAGAACAGCAGCAGTCTTAACCCGAGAGCTGTGCTCCGAGGACCCTGGTTCCAACAGTCAGCCTCAGGCTGCACCATGACCTTCTGGTGAGAGTCGCACTGCCGCCTGGCCCTGTCTCACCACTCGACAAAGTTGTTTAACATGACCCTTGATCACAACCAGAATTATTCTACGTTTGTAAATTGTAGATTCACCTACAAGTTTAGACTTTTGCCAGTGTCCCTAATACCTCCACCCATCATTTCACTCTGCTCTCTCTTATTTCACAGTTGAACACAATAGAGATACTCATCTGAATTTGTCATGTCTCGACAATGTTATGGCCCCTAAAGGTTTATGTGAGATAACAGGTTATATTTTCCCACTAGGTGATTGGGACTGTACTACTGACAAAAAAGTGCTGAAGATTTATAAATTGAATTTTTCTACTGAGTTAACAAAAAGCCTCCTGTATTATGTGCAGCAAGCATTGTCACAAAAGGAATCTGAGTTACAGTATGAGCATTCTTCTTTATCTTCTTTAGGCATTATAACTCAGGTATATCTGTGGGGGCTGCAGACATGTATGTTCGCATCAGTGGAGTCCAAAACAACACTGTCATATGGCGAACACTGTATGACCAGGGACCCCGTTGGCACCAGGTCACAGTGCAGCTGGGTCGCATCACTCAGCCCTTCCAGATCGCTCTGGCTAAGATCAGCCTTGGTGTGTTCGATGGGGTCTGCGCCTTGGATGATGTCACCTTCAAAAACTGTTCGATGTCCCCAGCAGTGTCACAGTGTCCCCTGGACACACATTTCCACTGTGCACAGACCAAAGCATGTGTGGAGCACCTGCAGCTGTGTGACCTTGTGGATGACTGTGGGGATGGATCAGATGAGGAGGGATGTTGTGAGTGTTTCTGATAGTTGCAGATACTCAGTAGTTGAAGAACTATTCACATCCTTTACTTAAGTAAAAGTATCACTATTCTTAAGGTAGCAAAAGTAAAAGTAGTCATTATGCAGAATGGCACATTTCACATTCATTTATATCACAATATTACATTATATTTATTGATGCATTATTGTGAACATCACATTTACAGCTGGTCAAAGTTGAGCTAAACTACACTACTTTATATACTTATAACATGAAGTACTGCCAGGTAGCTTGTGAATTTTCCACCAGGGATCAATGCAGTTTTATGATTATACTGTATTTTGTATTATTTATCTGATTCTGGAAAGTAACTAAAGTTATCAAATGAATGTAGTGCTGTTTTCTGGCTCCAGTGAAATTTCCTATTGTGACTTACAGCTCCAGAGCTGCAGTGTAACTTTGAGCAAGGACTGTGCAGCTGGAAGCAGGAGCAGAGTGGAGGAGATGTGTTTGACTGGACCCGCATCCAAGGCCCCACTCCATCCTTAGACACAGGTCCCTGGAAGGACCACACACTGGGAACCCACTACGGCCACTACCTCTACATTGAGTCATCTGAACCCCAAGAGTTCAAGGACACGGCTGTATTACTGAGCCGAGTCTTCCAACCCACCCACCAGCGCGGCAAAGACCCGTCCAAGTCACGCCACCACTGTGCTTTCCGCTTCCATTACCACATGTTTGGATCACATGTGTTCTGCCTGGCAGTATACCTTAGGACATCCTCTACAGGCCGTGGCCACATGCTGTGGGTACGATATGGAGACCGGGGAAACCTATGGCACAGGAAGACTCTCTACCTCAATAGCGCTCGGCCTTTTCAGGTAACAAAACCAAGGCTATTTTGCTCCTGAAACAGATACAGATAGGGGAAAAAAAAATATGTTTGTTTAGGCTTTTGCTTGATAGAGCAAGCGTATAAAACCGAAGTTTTATAGTCCGGTTCTAAGTACATTTACATTCATATCTCAGTTTTGAGCTTATCCTGTTTTAATTTCATTTATTTGAGATATAATAGAAAGAAAGATGAATTAATTAACTTTATTTGTAGAACACCTTTCTAAAACAGGGTTTACAAAGTGGTTTACAACAACAAAGCAGTGATGACATGTCAACAATGAAAACAGCATACATTATAGCACAAAATAAAAGTACAATGTAAACAAAATAGGCCCCTTGAGTAATCAAAGACAGACACCCAAATCTGAGCATGAGTAAACACAGCTCCCCTGCAGGAAACAATGATATGTTAGTGAAGCAAATACTGTATTTAAGAGTGCACTGCAGCATGGCCTGATGATCTGTTTAACATCACTCACTCGGGATGGATATACTACTGTCATCACTGAGTGTAATTTGACAAGCAGTTAAAGACATTTCCTCCATCATGACACTGAAATCAGGAACTCTCTTTGTCAAGTTAACTGACTGTAGAAAGGGTTACATTAAGACAAGAGACATTAAATTCATATTCAGGCCGATACATTTGATCACACAGTGGGTATTTTGCTATAAAACAACAAACAACTAATGCATATCTTCTATGTAAAAACATGGTACATGCAAAAAAGCAACAATGAGCTGTGTAGCAATAAAATAGTTAAAAAGGTTTCCAAGAACAGCTGTTTGCCAAAGCATCAAGTAAGAATGGCTGGTTACTGGAAAAATATTTCAACCATATTAAATCATGCTAAAGTGGCATTATAAAAAAACCTACAGTAAATACTGACACTGTGCCTCTTCCAGATAATAAACATTTAACAGGCTTGTTTTGTTTATTAGATTTGTCTTAATCTAATGTACTTGCACTGCAATCCTTTAGGTAATAATTTGTTACATTAAAAAGCTGAGATAAAACTTAAAGTTCAGTAAATGTTGTAAAGCCTACTGGCAAAAAAAAAAAAACTAGTTCCCACTAGTCCTCGCTATTACTTAATTACATGATTTGTGCATGCAAATGTCAAATGATTAGCTGTCCCATTCAGACACAGGGGTAATTTGGGGCCAGTACTGGTTTAACCTGTGCTTTTCCTACAAATACAAATCAAAATGTCTACCAAAGGTTAATTGGGCACACTGATGATGTATCCTAGCGAGGGTTTACTGCCAACATTGCACTGTGATCTCAAAGAAAGACAACACAAGCGTGTAGCTTATTTTGGTGGCATGTAAAACTCCCAGAAGTTGTCTTGACTGTCAGCAAGACAAGATCACAAGTTATGAAATAAACAGAACCCTAGTAACGGTTTAAAGCAAAATGTTTATAGCTGAGTTCATCACTATAAAAATGTCTTTTTTAAATTTGTTACAGATTTAAAAAAAAAAATCAGAAAAAATGATTTTAATAGTGATATAAATCTATATAGAATAATTTCTAGCAACAAGGGGTCAGTATCAAAACAAACTAGCAGACATACTGCAGCTTATCATTATGGCTAATTTCATTTAAAAAAAAAAATTCCCCAGGTTCAATATTAACTCCCCTCTTTTTTGACGTGGTCTCCACCAACTCCTAGGAAAACGATTCAGGTCTATTGGTTGCTAAATGACAACTTTCTTCACCGGCTAGCTAACTGCTAACTGAACCAACCGTCAAAGCAAATGTTAATAACAATATATATGACCACATAAAATGTGGTCCATATATCTGACCTGACACTTTACTGAATGTTGTTTGTCTTGAATTGTTGATCTGCAGCGTCTTGTGTTTATTTTCACTTTTGATGACAGATTTTGATTGAAGGTACAGTAGGAGATGATTTCAAAGGAGACATTGCTATTGATGACCTTTCCTTCCTTGACTGTGTCCCATATGAAGGTGAATGATTACAACATAACATAAAATATGGCCTTTTTAAGGTAGTGGTTGTGTTCTCCAGGATCTCTTATTTTGAATTTCTGTTGTTGATTTGTGGTTTCTGTCATTTCTTGTTGTAGGAGAGCTCCCCACAAACCCCACTCTCCCCGTTGTGACCACTCCACCCCCCACAGTCCAGCCCCACAGCTGTCCCATTGGAGAGTTTGTATGTGGGGCATATGGAGAGTGTGTGCCGGAGAGTAAAGTGTGTGACTTCAAACATGATTGCTCAGACGGCTCTGATGAAATAAACTGCGGTAAAATCAGAATTTCTGTATAATCACACACTACTCTCATCAGTTTTTCCTGTTTAATAGACTCTTTCTCTCTTTTTTTCCATTTTCCCCAGACATTTTCCTGCATCCCCTAAATTTAACTTTCTCTCCCTCCAGTGAAGGAACTGTGTGATTTTGAAGGTGGTGACACTTGTGGTTGGAGGAATGTCGACCCCTCTCTGGTCGCAATTCATGCATTTCGCTGGTCACCTGATCAAGGGGAAAGCATTCATGATGGAGAGCAGTACCATCGTCCATTTAATGACCACACCATGTGAGTACCAGCAAAACGGATCATGTTTCTGCCTTTAGAGCAGAACAATTAGTCAGTTAATTTAATTGATTCAGAAAGGAACTGCTACACCCACAACCATTTTATTTAAGTTGTATCTAATTCTAATTTCTCAGATCATGAGGATTGGATATTAATCAGATAAACCAAGCATTTAAGCATTTTTTAAATTTATTTCTGTTATTTTTAAAAAGAAATTACTAATACATTGATTTCTAGAATAAGGGGCAGATTAATTGATAGTAAAAACTAATATGTAATTTATAAGTAGCTATGTCCCTCAGCAGACAAAATAAGATGGATAATCTTAAAACATACCATTTATCTTTCTTTCCATAAAAAATAAATTCAAGACATCAACAGCTACACACAATAAAATAAAATAACTAAATAAATAAAATATAAAAAATAATACATGGTCTTTTTTTTAATTCACTAAAAGATATATAGAGAAGAAAAGGACTGTGAGCCTGAATGAGTCTGACCCATCTATAGCAGAGAGACATTTTCCTGATTGTCCTTATCTGTGTTTTATTGAGTTGACAGTGTGAGCAGAAAATGGCTGTGCACTTTGACACTACATTTCAGTAATTTCTTCTCTCAGCCAGTATTACAGACACTATCTCCTTTCATAAGCTCTCTGTCTGTCTGCAGCAGCACCGTATTCCTAACTCCTGCAGCAGCCTTGATTGCCTTGCATTCGATAAAGAGTGAAATAGAGAGGGAAAGCTGTGTCTTATTTAAACCAAATGGAGCCAAACTTCTTATGGGAATTTAATAAAGTGATGCAGAAGGGTTTGGTGCACATATACTGTGGGCATGGTGCTGAGAGTGAAGGCAATTACAGCACTATTCATCTTACTGTTGGTGGTTTAGGGCTTTGTGATTGACACTTTAAACCTTGCTGGCTTATAGTTGAATGAGTGCGTATCAGTGAGGTTAAGAAAACTGTCATTAGAATTGCAATTACTGTAATGATTAGTTTCAAGTTAATTTGTTGGTTAATTTCACGACTGACTGATTCATCTATAAAATGTCAAAAAAAAGGGAGAAAATATAAGAATGGTAATTTCTTAAAGCCCTAACTGAAATCACTTGTGTTGTCCAAGCAACAGTTCAAAACCTAAAGATACTGTAAAGATATTCCATTTGCTATCACATAAGATTATATAAACAAGCAAGTCCTCTCAACACAACATCTGATCCGTCACTAATTCATCAGGTAAACGAAAAGTGATAATCTGCTGATTCAACTGTTTTTTCTGGTTGGTTTTATCTAGGTAACTGGTAAAGTGTTATGGTTTGCGGTCTTGCTTCCTGTTTGGTGCTTTTATTTAGGTTAGTTTCCTGTCTGGTGTCACCTCACCTGCCCCAGCTTTACCCCGGTTCACAATTACCATTCATTGTTTCCACCTGTTGCTCATTCTACCCTGGTCTTCTGCCTATATATCCTCCTCCCTTCCTTTAGTGCGGTAGCTGGTTCATTTGGTCTTGATGCCTTATTGTCTGTGTATTTGCTCAGCACACACTGCTAGTTCCCATGGC